TGCGGCATAAATTGTTTAAATGTTAAAGCATAAAACAAATTAAAAAAAAATAAATTTATGATATTTTGGAAAAAAATTCATAACGAAAAATCTATACGTGATAAAAAAAAAATTGGTCATCGGGAACAGATTCAGCGCATCAAAATCTTTATATTTATGACAAAATTTTTTGAAGGAGGATTTTGTTGCAGACCAGTGCAATTAGTGTAAATAAATAGTTTTTGTCGTTATCAGTCTTCGAAGTTAATTTTGTTAAACGCACGAACATTACAATGTGTTACTTGATAATCGAATTCTTTAAGTTTAAGTCGCCATTTTATTAACCTACAATTTGAATCTTTTAGCGAAAATAACCACACTAACGGTTTATGGTCAGTTTCGATTGTATGATGTCTTCCAAATAGATAGGGCTTAAATTGTTTTGACGTTTCTACAATAGCTGGAAGTTCGCGTTCTCTCGTAGAATAAATTTTCTCTGCTGAATATAAGATACGTGAATAATAAGAAATAGGTCTATTATTTTGACACCACCTATTGATATATTGTTGGCGTTAGTCGTGACGTGAAAAAGTTTTTTGAAATCGAAATAAGCTAGAATGGGTGCATTAATTAACGATTCTATGCATTTATGGAATGTCTCTTGATAACCTTTGTTTTAAAGTTAATAGGGTGAGGTTAATTTTGGTTCCCTTTTTTAATCACTTAGTGAAGGGTTGGACTACTTTTGGGAAATTTTGTATAAATCGTCTATAAAAGCCAACTAAGCCAAGGAATGCTCTAATTTTTTTTACTGTTTGATGAGGGGTAATTTTGTATTGCTTTTATTTTTTCGGGATTTGGCTTTACTCCTTCGGTGGTAACATTGTGTCCTAAGAAGACTACCTCTTTGTTTAGTTGGACATTTAGGTTAAATTCCCTATATCTTTCATAAATTTTTCTTATGTGGATTAAGTGTATGGTTATGGTTATAGTATGTTATCCATTACTGTTTGGAAAGTGGCTGGGGCATTCTTCAGCCAAAATTGCATACGAGTATACTCATAAAGACCATTATTAATAGTGAATGCAGTTTTCTGGGGACTTTCGGGGGACATTTCTATCTGATGAAACCCTTTGAGTTAAGTCAAGTGTTGTAAAATGCTAAAACTTTTTCGGAATTATCCAAACCGGGCTACTAAAGAGTGAAATAGAAGGTATAATATTTTACTATCAGAAAGTTTTTGAATCTGAATTTGAATTTCGTGCTTTAAGTGATAAGAGTAGCGGTTTGATTTGCAATATATGGGGTCATCATCTACTGTCTTAATCTTATATTTTTTATTGCATACGAGAAAGATAAAGCTTAATTTTCCTAAAAAGATCCCTATATTTACTACATATAGCGATTATTTCAGTTTTTGCCTCAAGATTTAAATGATCTGTTATAATTATTTTCTGAATATCTAAATTAATTGTGAAAATTGTGGCTTTTAGAAGTCTACGTCTACAAGGAATTATACATTTATGGGGTGGTGAACGTTAATTTCATTGTAAAGGAAGTCATTGTTTTGTTTCTGACATTGATTCAGGGATACAAAAATAATTTATTCTGGTCTCGGGAATTAATACAAAACCTTCAAAAATATTAACGGGGGGATAAAAGGAAGTTTTTGCTATTTTTTTAAAGGGTTTAATATTTTGAGAATTTAATTCTGTAAAAAATGGTGTACTTTGATTACCTTTTTCTAAAATATTATTTTGATAATCTAGTTTTGCTCCTAGTTTTCGTAAAACGTGACTGTCTAATAGGGCATCGAGCTTATCATGCCAAGCGACTACGTGGAACTTTATTTTATCGTAAATACCAAATTCTTTAATAATGGACAAATAACATTTTTATTATCATGTATAGTTTTTATTAAGTAACTTAACGGGAAAAGGGTTTTTAAAGATAAAATTTGTAAAGTAGTTGTAGGTTGGGCCGGGATTTATAATACTAGGTAACCGATACATCTTGGAAGTCATGGATTACTCTACAAAGTGGCCTGAAGCAAATGCGATACCGAATTAGGAAGCACACACCGTTGCTGAAAAGCATATCAGTGACTGGATTAAGCGATATGGAGTATCTGTGGAATTGCATTCCGATCAAGGAAAGAACTTCGAATCGGCTTTGTTCAAGATGGTCAATGAACTAATGAGCGTTACAAAAACGAGGATTACGCCCTTGTATACATAGTCTGATGTAATGATTGAACGATTTAACGTTACTCTGGAAACCAACTTAAGGAGCTTGTTTAACCGCACCAAACTGGGACCGACACATACTACTATTCGTCTTAGCTTTCAGATCTGCTATTCATGAGATAACTGGGATAACAGCGGTGAGCTCTTTGTTTGGGAAAAAAGGTTGCCAGTGGATATGTTGTTTGGTCGTCTTAGATATTATCCAGTATTGGGATCCGTCAAATGGGCATACACCATCTGGTGGCAAAATTCATAACTCGAATGAGGGAAAAATTTACATAGGAACTGTGCACGCAAAGTGTAAAATTGTTTATTAAAATAATAAAACACGTTAAAAAAATAAACATTTTTTTGATGACGGAGTCGACGAAGTTTTCTTCTAAAGTTAAATCAAATAAAAAGTTAATATGTTCAGTGAAAAGCTGCAATAGCACTTCAGACATAGATCTTCACTCTTCACCTACATTAACTACTTTCCAATAAAAACTAACCGTTTTATATATGTAAAAAATATATTCGGAAAATTAGAGAAAAAAGTAAACTAATAGAAGCTTGGATGAAAGCAGTAGGTATCAAAGAAGTGAATTCCGGAATAAAAATTTGTTCACGTCATTTTAATGCACATGATTATATTTCAGCAAGTATTTACCATCAGCCATAACCTTAATATTTAAAACTAGAATCATACTAAAATTATAAAGTGAGAAATTATTTATTCCTGTGTAATTGATTTAACACAATTCTAATGATACGATATAAGTATTTTGAGGTTAAGAACCTACCTGCTGCAATACAACAAAGTTGCAATAATGTGTTTGCAACGTTCTCTTAAATCGGCTTTGCACGTGCAAGTCATTGATATGATATTGCTTAAATCACCCAGAATCACCTCACCAATTATATAACGTGAATCACTTTTTAAATCCGAAGTTTGTAAAAAGTAGGCAGTAAACTTGACGGAATTTGAAGGCTAGCTTCCGGATTTGTTATTTCCGAATTTTATAATGTGATTGGCATTAAAAACACGCTCACCTTCAACGAAATTTCCTTTCCGAGGCTTTGTGTCAGCCCAATCACATATTGTGTCAATACTTATCATTTTATCGTAATTTAAAAACTTGAAAATTGCACGGTACACTATAGGAACTACGATAAATTTTCCCTAATCGGCGCCATGTTTTTAGGCTCCTCCCATTTGACGGATCCCAATACTTCATTTACTTTCTGTAGCGATGTGCCCCTTCCAATGCCTTGGATGCGCGCTGGTAAAATCGTAGGTAGGGAGAAAAAATCTCATTATACTCTCGACTCTTGTTCATTAAACATAATTTTTCATACAGTATCTGCCAAAAGTTTTGTTCAATCATGAATAGTAGTGCGAATCGAAAACAAGCGTTAAGCCATTAATATGTCTTCAAACATAAATAAACATCTCGTTGATATTTTCAGTAGTAAATGGTACCAATAACAGCACATTTGAGCAATGCAATTGTAGTGGATAAAATGGTCAATTTTTCCGTCCAGTACTGAACGGATTGTACGCTCCTCACCGGTTAAGAGTTTAACCGGGAGTTGTCTCCATCCTTTTCTGGCTTAGTGCTGTTCTTTTCTACCTTGCACCGGTCAAACTGAAGGTCACATCGCTACAGAAAGTAAACGAAGTATACCTAGGCGAACTACGAGATTGACTAGAAGCTGTCCTTAACGCTGTGCGTGCGAAGCTGCGATTCGATAGTGACCGCATGAAGACCAGATACAATCGACCAGCTAACTCTGGCGGTTTTAATGAAGGCAACAATGTTTGGCTGTACAATCCATTACTGCAAAAGGGACGTTGTCCGAAACTACAGCAAGTTTGGGATGATCCGTACACCGTTGTTCAACGCATAACGACATTAGTTGTTTAATTCAGAAGGGCCCTCGGGCAAAAGTGAAGAGTGTCCATCTTACCGGCGGCAACGTCACTGATGGAGATCAGTTTTAGTACAGGGGAGGCAGTAACAAGGCAGACAACATATACACTGTCACGTATAGGCAATCTAACATTCATAGTGACAAAGAAGACTAGATTTTCAAGACGTCACATTTTGGATCTTTCTAGAACAAGAACAGCCCCTATAAATAGTTGCTGCGAGGTCGGAACAGGTAGTGAATTAATACGAGTTCGAGTTACGAGGTGATACAAAGTGAAGTAGAAGAAGTGAAAACGCGACAAAGTGTATGATATAGTGTTTAAATAGTAATTAATTCGTAATAATAGTGGTAATTAAAATGTATAAAGTTAAATAAATTAGTAGTGAAGATTGCGTGACAATTTTACAAATTAAATAAAAATCTTTTTCTTTAAGGTGGTCGTAAATTTTCTAGACCTAGCTTATTAAATTATTTTATTAGAATTCGGGCTACGGTTGCTAGTACCTTATTTGTTAATTACATTCGTAAATGCTTGTCGCAACATTCAAAACCCTTAACGAATTATTAAGGTAACGTTTTCATTTCAGGTACATGGCCATAATGACTCCATTGAAACCTCGAATGGGAAGAATGGCGACTGTTTTAGTTGCTATAAGTACGTGGGTACTAGGAATTCTAATATCAAGTCCGCAATTAATATTTTATACCACTTACGAAGAAACATTCAGCGATGGAGAGAAAAGAATTGTCTGTTATGGAGAATGGCCTGATGGTGATACAATTAATTCATTTCATGAATACATGTAAGTTAGAGAATTGGAAACATAAGAACTGTTAAATGTATATGTAAGATAATTGGAGAATCATCTAATAACTTAATTTTACCAAATCGATAAAATTTTCTACTTATTGTTGACAAAGTTTTTCCTACCTAAATAAAACTGCCTATAAAAAAAAACTTTGCACGTTTCATTAATGTTCCACTCTACAGTCCAGTGCAAAATCAGAAGGTAGGACGGTCAAGGGATGACACTAGTTTTATCTAACTAAATGGAAAAGTTTTCGAATTAAAATAATTGTAAAAAATATAGATAATTATTAGCACTAAACAACCCCAAAACACACTTAATTCAATCTAACCAATAAATAATATATAATCAAAAAAAATACAAACCAAATACTAAAATGGTGCTGGTAATTACTAGCTGATTAAGTTCGGCATTGCGGGTCATATTTCTTTAAAAGATAATTGAATTTACCTGTATTTTCAACTACGTTTTTCTCGAAAATTATAGTGCCCTATCACTTCCTGCAAGCTCCGAACTTATTTCTGTCACACCATGTATAGGACGACATAAAGCAACACAATGGCGGTAACGGTAACAACCGTGGTGCGTTCAGGATCGCAAGAATTCGCAAAAACTTGTTTAACGACTATTAAATGGCATTAAATACTGCACGAACTTTTTGCTCATACATAAGTATGTACTTTGATGTTAGATATTGGTAGGACCAATTCCGCCGCGTTTTTATAATTCATGATGACCCTGCTTTTTCTGTATTCTATTTTTGAAGTGAAAACTTCTTCAGCGACGTTGGGCACTTTTTGGCAGGGGAAAATATTATGAGTTCGCGTCACCGACATGCTCACGACTGGCGCACGCGCAGCGGCCGTGTGCTGTAAGCGTTAGACGCTTTTTGGATGGGTGAAATCTAGTGCGTTCGCGTCACCGACATGCTTATAGCAGTATACGAGGGTGGATTGATAAGTTTCCGGCCTGACCAAGAAAAACAAGGTTTTTAAAAATTTTTTTTTTTTATTTCTCAACATAATCTCCTCCAAGGCTGATACATTTCTCATAGCGGTGTTCCAGTCTATTAATGCCATCTCTATAGACTGATTCGTCAAGCTCCTCAAAATAACCATTTACAGCTTCGATTACTTCTTC